AGCCAGGTATCCTTGGAAGCAGATCCTCCAGCATCACTCAGAGCCAGGACCCGGCCTCACCCAGCCTCACCCAGGAGCCAGCACCAGCGTGCAGCCAGGTATCCTTGGAAGCAGATCATCCAGCATCACTCAGAGCCAGCACCCAGCCTCACCCAGGAACCAGCACCAGCGTGCAGTCAGGTATCCTTGGAAGCAGATTCTCAAGCCTCACTCAGATGACTACGCCCCCAGCCACACCTGACCAAACCTCAGGAGAAACCTGAGCCAGAGTGGCCAGCCTGACCATCCCAATCCTGACCCACAGAATCCCAGAGAGATGACAGGCGTTTACTGTTTGTTTTTAAGCCACTGCACAGCCATGTTCGGTGATTTGTTTCATAGCAATAGGTAATGAAGTGACCTTGGACAGAGCTGTGTCTATCCCATCATTGAAGAACCCAGATCACACAAAGTGCAGGAGTAAGTGGAGCTGAGAGGACGAAGGCATGCAGCAGCAACCACCCCGCTCAGAGTTTGCTGTGAGCAGAACAAGCAACGGCAGACATCTGTGGGCATCTCCAGGATTTTACCCCATCAGCTGTCCCCTCCCATCAGCCCTTTAAAGACTTCTTCCTCTGTGACTACCAGCGTGGCCAAGGGACTCCTAGCTGATGTTTCTTTGAGATCAGAAATTTGGGAAGACATTTATACACTAACATCATACCATTATTTAACATAGCAAAAATAGCCTAAATGTTTAAGAACAAGAGAGAGGTAAAATGAATTATTTTTCTTCCATATGATACTATATTAAATGGTTATTAGTGCAGTTTTTGGAACTTTTTTTTGAGATGAAGTTTCGCTCTGTCACTCAGGTTGGAGTGCAGTGGTGCCATCTCAGCTCACTGTAATCTCCGCCTCCCAGGTTCAAGCGATTCTCCTGCCACAGCCTCCCGAGTAGCTGGGATTACAGGCGTGCGCCGCCGCACCTGGCTGATGTTTGTATTTTTAGTACAGATGGCATTTCTCAATGTTGGCCAGGCTGGCCTTGAACTCCTGACATCAGATGATCTGTCTGCCTTGGCCTCCCAAAGTGCTGGGATTAGAGGTGTGAGCCACTGTGCCCAGCCTGGAGCATACTTACAGTGATTTGGGGATATTCTCATGTTGTAATACTAAGTAAAAAAATTAGAGAAAAAGAGAGAATTATACCAGTTGTACAATGCTATGTGGCCATTCCCTTAAAACGTATATCATTGATTAAAAATCACAGAGCCCTTTACTAAAATTTTAGCAAACACATTTTTATTCACTTTACAAATGATTACCATCTGGCTGAAACTGATTAATGTCTCTCATAGCTCTAGCTTTATATTTTTCTTTCCTGTCATTTGTGCATTTATTTCTTTGGGAAAAAATATCGCCAAGACATACAAATCAAATTGCATTTCATTAAAAGTTCAACAAAAAGTATGAAATCTAAGGACTATCCTTAGAAAATTCAAGGCATATACGTACTGTTGGATCATAGCACATTGTCATTCATTCATTCATTCATTCAATAATTGCTTATTTAACAAATATTTCTTGGCCAGGCCTGGTGGCGCATGCCTGTAAACCCAGCACTTTGGGAGGCTGAGGTGGGTGGATCACCTAAGGTCAAGAATTTGAGACCAGCCTGGACAACATGGTGAAACTCTGTCTCTACTAAAAATACAAAAATTAGCCAGGCATGGTGGTGAGTGCCTGTAATCCCAGCTGTTCGGGAGGTTGAGGCAGGAGGATCGCTTGAACCTGGGAGGTGGAGGTTGTGGTGAGCCGAGATCCTGCCATTTTACTCCAGCCTGGGCAACGAGAGCAAAACTCCGTCTCAAAACAAACAAACAAACAAACAAAAACAAATATTTCTCAAATACTACTTAGGTTGTTGCCAGGTGTGGGGACATAAAGATGGATGAGACACTGTGCTTGCTCTCAATGAGCTGATGGCCAAGGACAAATGAGTAAATTAGCACATTCAGAATCGCTTGGGAAGGATTGTGCTCAGAGTGAGCCCAGGGCACTTAGGAAGCTCATGGCAGGGCCCCCCAGACAATCTAGAGGCGTGGCCACTGTCCCCCTCGTTCAGTTTAATCATCTGTTTAAAGAGCATGTCTCTACCCTTTCCTGTGATTCTTAGTAATGACCTTTGGCCTGGGAAATGCAATTCTAATCCAGTGACCTTCTAGTTAATACCTGCTAACTCTGCTAATTTATTGTTGATTTTCTAGAGGAGTAAAGGAAACCAAGGTTTTCATCAGACCCTGAAAGCTGTTTGCCTGAAAAATGGCATCTATGCCTCCAGGACTCTGGCGAGAATTGATCTAAACGAAGCTCTCACTCAGCCCATCTACGACCAGATCGACCCTGTTTTTGCAAGCATTTTTAGGTAAAGAATCTTTCGTCTTGCCCCTTCAGGAACAGACATCAGAAGAACGTTGAGCCAGAGTCTTTAAGAATTTAGAATTTGTATCTGGAAGTATAAAGAGTAGCTTGTAACTAGAGGAGGAAAGCTTAGTCTTTGGCAAAACGCAAAAGCCTCCTTGGTCTGGTTTACTTAAAAATTTCCCATGATGACCCGGACACAGATTGAGATGCTGCCTTCAGACTAATATTATGATTCCCATTATTTTTCAGATATCTCACACATGCAGCTGGGGATACATTTTCTTAGGGATCTGAGCCGAGGACAGGCTATTTTGATTGGAGAGAATGGAATTAATCAAACATACATGGTCCTTAGAACTTTCTTTCTTTCCTTTTTAAAACAATGAGACAGGGTCTTGCTCTGTTGCCCAGACTGGAGTGCAATGGCACAATCCTAGCTCACTGCAGCCTCGAACTCCTGGGTTCAGACAAGCCTCCCACCTCAGCCTCCTGAGTAGCTGGGACCACAGGCATATGCCATTCTGCCTGGCTAACTTTTAACAGATAGATTTTTTTTTTTTTTTTGTAGAGATAGGGTCTTGCTATGTTGACCAGGCTAGTCTTGAAATCCTGGCCTTAAGTGATCATCCCCCCTTGGCCTCCCAAAGTGCTGGGATTACTGGCATGAGCTACCACATCCCACCTCAGAGCGTTCCCTGAATGCACTGAAGACACTGTGTCTGTTTCTGACACTGCCTGTTCACATACATGACATGGGTGTGGGGAGTATACCTCCTTGGTGAGCCCTCCTTCCCTCCTTCCTTGACCTCTAATTCTTTACTCCATTGATAGAAATAGAATCTCCCAGTCCCCAGTACAGCTGCCCATCCCCAGTCCCTGTCCTTCCTGCTGGCATTTCACATGGTTGCCAACTGGTGGCTGCTTGAACCATTCTCCAGCCTTTGCTTGTGTCTTACTCAGAGCCCCCATCCCTGCCCCACCTTTCTTTTTTTATTCTTTTGTTTTTGAGATGGAATCTTCTGTCACCGAGGCTGGAGTACAGTGGCGCAATCTCCGCTCACTGCAACCTCCACCTCCCAGGTCAAGCTATTCTCCTACCTCAGCCTCCTGAGTAGCTGGGATTACAGGTGCCTGCCACCATACCAGGCTAATTTTTGTATTTTTAGTAGAAACGGGGTTTTACCATGCTGGCCAGGATGGTTTCGAACTCCTAACCTCATGATCCGACCGCCTCAGTCTCCCAAAGTGCTGGGATTACAGGTGTGAACCACTGCGCCTGGCCTTGCCCCACCTTTCTTTAAGCATGTCTTGGTTTATGTCATTCCACCGATTGTACCCCCACTTTGTTTACAATTCTGTGGGCTAAACTTCAAATTCTTTAGAATGCATTCAAGACCTTCCATCTGCCTCCAGCTTCCCTTTCCAACCTCTGCCTACGCCCCAGCCTGGTAGCAGCCCTCTGCTGTAGCCCGCCCAGCAGGTGGCAAAGAGAGAGTAGCTACATGTCCCGGGCACCAGTGCTAAGTACTTGGCATGCATTAGCTCATCAGATGTTCCCAGTAACTCTAAGCAGTGGCTTCTGTCTTTTTACATCTGAGCAAACTGAGGTTCAGAAAATTGTGGAACTTTCCCAGTGGCGCCCAACTCGTGAGCCACGAGCTGGGATTTAAAGCTTGTACTCTCTCCTCTGCAGCCTCTCACTTCCTATTTCTGGGATATTCTGAAACCACTGTGCTTCCCACGTTGTCCCATGGGGAATAACTTCTTTCCGCCTCCTCAGATCTTACCCAACTTTTAGGTATAAGAGTTCAAGTTCCACCCTTTCAAGTGGACACACGTTGACCGTGGAAAGACTGTGAGTTCTCCAGTTAAAGCAGTATTCCAAGGCTGGCTCTGCCTCTTACTAACTCTCTGACTTTGGACACGTCAGCAATTCTCTCTGAATCTCAGTTTTCTCGCCTGTTAAATGGACATTATCTCACGAACTTCATAGGTTTTTATGTCAAAGGCCTGGCACAGCACGGTGTCTGGCACGTTGTAGGGATTTGATAATTGTTGGATCTCATCCTCCTTCTCTTAAATGAACAGAAGGACACAGCTAGTTTCATGTTTGTTTCAGTCTCACAGCAGCCACCATTCTCGTAAGCTTCTTTGTCACTTTCTTCTGTAGGACGGGGAAGCCCACTGGTTTGGCTCTGATGCCTCACCTTGATGCTTTTAAGTACTCCCTGCAGGAGAAAATGATGGAAATTGGGATACGAAGTGGCTGGAAATATGATAGCTACAAAAAAAATTTCCTGATCCAGGAGGTAAGTTCCTTACATAGTGAGGAGAGGAGTGAGGTTGGGCGTGGCTTTCTTCCCAGGCTGGTTTTGTAGGTTGCCAGTGAGTTACTGCCTGTTCCCTGGAGTGTCGGGGTCTGGGAGGGCCTCTAGGAGGTGCTGTGAAATACAGAGCACAGTGGGATATGGGGAGAGCAGTGGGCCTAAGACTGCCTGGAGGAGGTAGGAGACCTTTGCTCCACTGTGAAGCCACCAAGAGCGCGCACCAAGGTTGTAAAGTTTGCTCAGTTTCCAGGAAGAATCTTTAAAGAAGCTTTAGTTGTATGAAACTTTGCATCAGCTGGAAACGTGTTCGTTAACCTACCGTTTTCACCAGTGTTACAAAGTAGCATCCAATGCAGTGAAGCTTAAAGAAGTCATTTTTTTGTTGTTGAATTTTAGGTCAGTTTCTAGTTTTGAGGCCTCAAGACTCTTGTCTGTGACTCACTTTCTTCCAGTGCCAGCCTAAATTACATGGCGGTGCTAGGGAAAGAGCTTGTATCTCCTCTGGCCCCCAGAGAGGGACCATTCCAGGACCTTGCCTGTGCCTGAGTTCAACTCAGGAAATACTTATGAAGTAGTTTGTAGGTGCCAGGCACCAGGGGAAGCGCTTGGGTTATAGAGATACTTAGAACAAAGCTCCTGCCTGTGAGTAGCTCTCAGCCTAGTTGTGGAGATGACAGGCAAACAGCCAGGTATCGTAGGAGGAGGGAATGGTGGCCAGGCACTGGCACCCCTGACCTGCTTCCGTTGAAGGAATTGCCACCAATGACCTCTGTTGCTCTGTCTTCCTAGATAAGTGCCATCCTCGGGGGCCTGGAGGACCACATCCTCAGAAGGAAGAGGAGGATCTATGAGTCCCTCACCGCCTCTATCCAGAGTGACCTGAAGCTCTGTTATGAAGGTGCGGGCCGCAGGGAGCAGCATTCCTGCCTGTTCTGGGACTTTCTGTCAGCGCCTTTCGCATCCTTTTGTGCGGCTCAAACCCCTTGTCTCCTTGCACCCTAAGTCTTTTTTTTTTTTTTTTTTTAATTTGAGATGAAGTCTCACTCTGTCTCCCAGGCTGGATTTCAGTGGCACGATCTCGGCTCACTCACTGCAACCTCGACCTCCCGTGTCCAAGCGATTCTCCTGCCTCAGCCTCCCGAGTAGCTGAGGTTACAGGCGTGCACCACCACGCCTGTCTCATTTTTTGTATTTTTAGTAGAGATGGGGTTTCACCATACTGGCCAGGCTGGTCTCGAACTCCTGACCTTGTGATCCACCCACCTTGGCCTCCCAAAGTGCTGGGATTACAGAAGTGAGCCACTGTGCCCAGCTGGCAACCTAAGTCTTTGCAGTACTCTCAGTCTGCACATTGCAACCACATGACTGCAGGTGTGGGGACCCTTCTCTGTGTTTTCCAGCTCTTCCTGTACACCCTTGGTCCAGGCACCCTGCTTTTTACCCTGCAACATCCCAGCTGCTTTAGCTGTAGAATGCAGTGTCCAGCTCTTATTCTTGTTTCCAAGTATTCGCAAATACTTGGACTCGCCTGTGAACCCACTTTCAGACTCTTCCTGTTTTGGTGGCTCCATTGTTTGAGGGGTAGGGAGTGATTTTGCAAGCTTCAGCCTGATTCAGTCATTAGGTTTTCTGAATGCTGGTTATTATCTAAATATTGAAAATGTTATTTTTATATAAATGTGTGTGTGTGTGTGTGTGTATACTTTGTTGTTGTTGTTTGTTTGTTTACTTGGCTTGCTTATTTTTCTTTCTAATGCTAAAGATTTCTTTCTTTATTTTTTCTTCTTTTTCCTTTTTTTTTTTTTTTTTTTGAGATGGCGTCTCCCTCGCTCTGTCGCCCAGGCTGGAGTGCAGTGGCAGCAGTCTCAGCTCACTACAACCTCCGCCTCCCGAGTTCAAGTGATTTTCATGCCTCAGCCTCCCAAGTAGCGGAGATTATGGGTGTGTGTGCCACGCCTAGCTCATTTTTGTATTTTTAGTAGAGACAGGGTTTCACCATGTTGGTCAGGCTGGTCTCAAACTCCTGACCTCAGGTCATCTGCCTGCCTCAGCCTCCCAAAGTGCTGGGATTACATGTGTGAGCCACTGTGCCTGGCCTTGATGCCAAAGGCTTCTAAGCAGGTCCTAGTCATGGTGTGACTGTGGCTATCATTTTTGCCAGAGGCAGCTCAGATCACGGGGAAAAAAGCATGTGAGAGGATGAAAGATGTCATCAGAAGAGGAGTGGAACGGCAGGTGGCCGAGGGCATGTTTGAAAGGGCCCAGGAAAGGATGCAGCACCAGTTTCAGCAGCTGAAGGTACTCTACGCCCACAGCCCGGATCCCAGACCCCGGGGGGCCCTGAGGGAGGAGGGGAAGCGGTTGCAGAAGGTGGAAGACATAGTAGGTATTTGGACCCACATGGGACAGACACTTCCTGGGGCTTCGACTTGAGAGCTGCAGCTCTGCCAGCACTCCCCTGCGCCCCTCCTCTCTCCTAAGTCACCAGTGGCACCGCAACTGTGGTAGCTAGACATGTGCTCAGCTTTTATAGACTTTGGCTTGTTTAATCCCCAGCAAGTCTGTGGGACAGGTACTAGCATTGTTCCCATTTTATAGAGAAGAAAATTCCAGCAGCGAGAGGTGTGTCAACCAGCCACACAGCCAGGGAGATGCACGGCCAGGATTCAGGACCAGGGAGCCTGGCTCCAGCAGGTCCAGCAGCAGCATGATCTCAAAACAGATTGTTTAAAGAGGGAAATGTCTTGTCTACGCAAAATCCCAATAAGTAGATAGCAATACCGTACTGAAGGCCAGTGACGGTACCTAGCACACATTCAGCTTTAGTTTTACCTACCCCAGAAGACAGTTTCTGACGGTTTCCTTGGACCTAAATGCTTCTGTCAAGCCTGCTAGGACCACCTTGCCTCTGCTCTGGGCCTCATGGCTTGCCACCCTTTTTCCCCCAAATAGTAGACATCCTTGGAGTCCGTGCCACTGTGGCTCCCTCCCTGGCCATCTGAGGCTCCACATTTTCTGCCTCAACCCAGGCTGGCTGATCCTGTCTCCAGGCCCTCAGGGAAGCTGGCCCATTGCTATCTCAGTCCACCTCTGAACTAGCCTTCTCGAATCATCTCCAACCTGTTTCTGCCCAGTTGTCTCTCCTCTACCAGGACTGCAGCTTTGGAAAATATCTTTCTTTACAATTCAAAGCATGTCTTTCCCCTTGGAGAAGGCTAAGAGGCATCTTGTTACCAGCAGCAGTTCAGTTTCAATCCTTTCACATGTTATCACAGTCTACAAATTCATGGGCAAGAAATTGGCTGAACTCCACATAGCCGGTTCCTGTTTCCCCACTGAATACATAGATACTGGATCTTAAGACTCCCAGGAAACAATGTAACTAAAAAAAATGTGTATGTACAGATGTATCTTCAATTACAGAAACGTAGGAAGTTAAAACTGGGCGAGATCACAGAGTGTTCCCATTCTGTGATCTTTTTTGTTTCGTTTTGTTTTAAGAATGCCAGTTGGCTGGGCGTTGTGGCTCACGCCTGTAATCCCAGCACTTTGGGAGGCTGAGGCGGGTGGATCACAAGGTCAGGAGATTGAGACCATCCTGGCCAACATGGTGAAATCTCGTCTCTACTAAAAATACGAAAATTAACCGGGCGTAGTGGCACGTGCCTATAATCCCAGCTACTCAGGAGGCTGAGGCAGGAGAATCGCTTGAACTAGGGAGCCAGAGGTTGCAGTGAGCTGAGATCACGCCATGGCACTCCAGCTGGGTGACAGAGCAAGATTCAGACTCCATCTCAAAAAAAAAAAAAAAAAAGAATGCCAGTTAACTTTTAATTGTTATTGTTTAAAATACTTTAGTTCTACACAACAGATGAAATTTATTTTTATATGTAATGTCTGAAGATTTACTGTTTTTTAAAAAATGACCTCTTTGCAATAGTCCTATAAGTTAAATAATAGAATACCATTTCGTTGACTATATGGATTAGTCTCTGATATATTGATCTGTAATGTGGCTTGCTGCTCACTCTAGAGTGAGGTGACTGCCTCTCCTGGTTTAAGAGCTGTGAATCTCTCATTCCCTGATCTTAGAGATGAGGAGGTGGAAACCTAGAGGCCTTGAGTTACAAGTTCCAGGCCCACTGCTAGAGCTGAGACGCTGGAATCTAGAATGTTAGCAAAAAAGCCCAGGAGATCCAGCTTCCCAACTAGACTCTGCCAGACTAGAGGAAGGAGCCTGACATTTTTTCAAAGGGAGGCAAGAAACGGAAAAGGGAAGAAAGGGGTTTTAGTTGATAAAAGAACTAGGAGTAGCAAGAAGACACCTCTCAGGCAGTTGGGAAGAATCAGATGTGCACCGTAAGGTGAGTGGCACAGAGCAGGTGTCCAGCAAACATTTCCCCAGTGAGCAGACGCATAGAGGAGAGGACAGTGGGAGAGTGGCCAGCTCATTCCCTTTTTTTCCATCTCTGCGATTGCCCTTCTTCTCCCCGCCATGCCTCCGGGCTTCCCCATTAGCTCCTGATTTGATCAGCTGACACCAGAGCTTCCGTCCCGCACGAGTCTGTAGGCGGTGAGGGTGATGCTGTCCAGGTGGTGGGAACCCACAGAAACGTTGTCTTGCTGCTTCCTGGGCCTTTCGGTGTCCTCAAAAGTCTGTACCTTCTGTGGCTGGGAGACTGTGTGGGGTTCCTTTGATAAGATCCACTTTCCCTTGGGCCGCACCGTCCTAACAGAATGAATGTTCTTGTCATGTAGGCTGGGATCGTGGAGAAAGTGAAGGGCAGTATCGCCACCATGCTGGCCCTCGCCTCGTCCCAGGGGGATGGCCTCTACAAGGAGCTTGCAGGTAAATACGCCAAAGCTTTGCATGCAGGCAGATTTTGCAGACGGCCCTGGCCGTGGTGGCTTCTTCCTGAATTTAAAGGTATTAAGTCAGGAAGAATGACCAGGGCAAGGAGTGGAGATGATGATGATGATGATGATGATGATGATGATGATGATGATGAAATGACAGCCTCAGCCTTTGCTGAGCGCCCAAATGAGAGCAAACATTATACTCGGCTTGTGCTCATGGTCTCACTGAATTCTCACCTTAGTTCCCCGGGATAGATGTTATTGCTCCATTTTGCAGATGCAGAAATAGAGACTCACATTAGGAAATGTGCCAAAGGCCCCGTAGCTGGAAAGCCGCTAATTTAAATCCACAGCTCTGCCCTGCTTACTCCATAAAGCCTGTCTTTGAAGTTGATGCCTCCTTATGAAAAACTTCATTGTCTGGCGATGGTGGAGAAAGGCTTTTCTTAAGCCACCTGGGGCCTGGGGATGCAGCACCCGCTGTGGACCTTGGGGTAGGCAGCTGTGTCCCTTTCAGTCCGTGGGCTCCACCAGGCCCCCGGTATAAACTGGAGAGTGTAAACTGGTACAAAAAGCAATTGGGTAATGTCTCGCCAGATTTAAAATGCACATGCCATTTGGCGCAGCCATCCTACTTCTAAGGTTTTACCCTGCAGATATTCTTATATGCGGGGAGAATGGCATATGGGCACCGTTGTTCAGAGTAGCATTGTTTCTGACGTCAAAAATTGGGGCAACTCAAATATCTGTAAGTAAAGCACTGTGTAAATTAAATTAGAGACACAACCAGTGGAAGGCTAAGCAACTGTTAGGAAAATAAAGCAGCTTTATAAGTAATGGTATGAAATGATCTCCAAAATATATTACAAAGTGAGTAAATGTGTATGACATGTTGCCATTTGTCAGACGGGAAAGAAGGAAATACATACTTATATGTTTGTATGTGCATAAAAATCTCCGTGGGATACACAGAACACTGGTAGTACTGGTTGCCTCTAAGGAGGGAAACTGGAAGGCTGGGGGAAGGGGAGGAAACTTGCTCTGCCCCCTGTATATTTTGTGTCTTTTATATATGTATAATTTTTTGAGACGGAGTTTGGCTCTTGTTGCCCAGACCAGTGTGCAATGGTGGGATCTCGGCTCACCACAACCTCTGCCTCCTGGGTTCAAGCAATTCCCCTGCCTCAGCCTCCCCGAGTAGCTGGGATTACAGGCATGTGCCACCACACCTGGCTAATTTGGTATTTTTAGTAGAGAAAGGGTTCCTCTATGTTAGTCAGGCTGATCTCGAACTCCTAACCTCGGGTGATCTGCCCATCTCGGCCTCCCAAAGTGCTGGGATTACAGGCGTGAGCCGCTGCACCCGGCCGTGCCTTTTATACCGAATTCCACATCTGTAGTTGCCGGCTGAAATGAATAGATCTGATGGTGCTGAGTTTGCCAGGGTGAACGTAGGCAGAGCTATTCCCAAAGTCAAAGCCACAATTGCTGCTTCTGAACATCGTTCTGTACTTCTCCATCTCTCTGGGAATCTTTCTGCCCCATTTATGGCTGGTTAGATGGACCTCTGACCTGCTCCTGACAAACTCCAGAGGAAGAGATTCAATACCCTCACACTATAATGTATTGGATTCTCATGACCTTCTTTCAAGCCTTTATAGGAATCTAAGTTTTGAGATGATGTCATTCCAGTGTGCGTCTTTAAAGAACTCCCACTTGCCAGAGCTCTTGAGCAGGTCTCACAGACAGATTGTGTTCCCCAGTTTGATGTCAATTGCGCCTGCTGTAATTTAAGCCTATTTCCTTCTCTTCACCATCGACAACGAATGTACGTCCTGTCAGGGTGGCTGCGGCAGGTGCCCAGGTCATAAAGAAATCTAAAAGGCAGTCCCTGTTGACAGGGCCTTACCTGGTTGGTAAGACAAGTTGTGTAAGAATGTGCATTTTGAGACTTGGGAGTTTGCATTCACTCAGCAAGCGATTCTGTCACCTCCTGGGTGCTGAGGACCCAGTGGTGACCAAAACAGGCAAGAGTCCCTGCCTTCACGGAGCTCGCAGCCCAGTGGGAGGAAGGCAGGCAGTAAGCAAACTAATAAGTGAAATATGTGGCAGGGAAGCGAAGCAGAGTCACGGGAGAAGGGATGCTGGGGTAGGGGACAGGTTGGTCAAGGAAGGTCTCCCTGGGAATGGCACACTTAAGCAAGGCCCTGAGGGAGGGCACCCACTCACACTTCAGATCGTCATTCTTGAAGTTCAGGAGACAGTGGTTATTCAGGGCTGGGACATGGGAAGCTTCACTGAAGCTGGGTCCTAGGGGAAGCCTTCAAGTTTAGGCTGATTTCACAGGCAGCAGAGAGAAGGGATGCCTTCCAGATATGAGACAGGACAAAAAGACTCAGGGTCCTAACTCCCCTCCTGTTCATGAGTCCCATCCCTGGCCAGGCTCAGGGCCAGTTAGCCTGAGTCACCCTGTGGGGCACAGAAAGCCAAGGGGGTTTGGAAAGGCATTTGGCGCTCAGTCTGAAGGGTCCCATCAAAGGGGACCACATTAGGCAGCATCCTCCAGATAAACAGAACCAGTAGCATGTGTGGATAGACAGAGGAAGAGATTTATTTTAAGAAATTGGCTCACACGATGGTGGAGGCTTGGTCAGCCCACAGGCTGATGCAGGGAGGCCAGCAGGATGGAGACTCCAGAAAGAGTGGCAGTTGGAGTCCAGAGAACATCCCTGCAGAACCAGGCAGAGCTGACGTTGTAGACGAAGGCCCCAGGCTGTCACTGGAGAATCCCCTCCTGCTTGAGGGAGGCCAGCCTTTGGCTCCATGCATGCCTTCAGCTGGCTGGTTGATGTCCATCCACACTGGAGAGGGCCATCTGCTTTACTTGAGGTCCACTGAGTTAAATGTCAATCTCATCTAAAAACACCCTCCCAGAGGCATCCAGACTCTCGTTTAACCCAGTGACCTAGACAAGTTAACACATAAAACTAACCATTGTGAGAACATGATTTGATTGCAGATCGTGGGATGAAACGTGAGATGCCAAAGAGAGAACATTCACTGAGAATGGATCGTTCCGGGAGGATAGGGATGGGTGGGAAAGGAGGGGGAGCCACCTGGAGAGGACTTAGGGGAGGTGTTATTGTGCAATGTGCTTTGTATATTACATGCCTGTGAAGGCTTAATACAGACCTAGTGACTTCTCAGTTTTTCTTATGGGTAGGTTTGTGTTTCTTTTGAGGGTGACCCCATGCTGAGACAGCGTTCTGGTAAGAGGAGGAATACCTGCTTTGATGTCTGATCTGTAAGCACCACTCCAGATCTCATATTCTGGGACAAGTGACAGGATTGTTGGGGGATTTGCTTTCTGGAGACGTTTCTACAAAGGACGTCAAGTCCTGACATGCACTTTCTGCTCTCCTGTAGATGTCGGGAGTGAATACAAGGAGATGGAGAAGCTGCACAGAAGCCTGAGGGAGGCCGCGGAGAATGCCCGGCTGAGGAAAGGCATGCAAGAGTTCCTCCTAAGGGCATCCCCCCGCAAGGCTGGCCCCCCCAGGATGTCACTGTAACTCCCAGGGCTTAGTCCCAATGGATGAAAGATCAGCCCAGAGCCAGACAATCAGAATTACTTTTTTGGTTCTTTTTTTTTTTTTTTTTTGAGATGGAGTCTCACTCTGTTACCCAGGCTGAAGTGCAATGGCGTGATCTTGGCTCACTGCAACCTCCGCCTCCCAGGTTCAAGCAATTCTCCTGTCTCAGCCTCCCGAGTAGCTGGGATTACAGGTGCGTGCCACCACACCAGCTAATTTTTTGTATTTTTAGTAGAAACAGGATTTCACCATGTTTGCCAGGGTAGTCTTGAACTCCTGACCTCAAGCAATCTGCCCACCTCTGCCTCCCAAAGTGCTGGGATTACAGGCATGAGCCACTGTGCCTGGCCATACTTTTTTGTTCACAAGAGACAGGGTCTACCTCTGTGGCCTAGGCTGGAGTGCAGTGGCACCATCACAGCTCACTGCAGCCTTGAACTACTGGGCTCAAGTGATCCTCCAGCCTCAGCCTCCAGAGTAGCTGGGACTACAGGTACAGGCCACCACACCTGGGTAATTTTTTTTTTGAGACGGAGTTTCACTCTTGTTACCCAGGCTGGAGTGCAATGGTGCGATCTTGGCTCACCGCCACCTCCGCCTCCCGGGTTCAGGCAATTCTCCTGCCCCAGCCTCCTGAGTAGCTGGGATTACAGGCACACGCCACCATGCCCAGCTAATTTTTTGTATTTTTAGTAGAGACGGGGTTTCACCATGTTGACCAGGATGGTCTCGATCTCTTGACCTCGTGATCCACCCGCCTCGGCCTCCCAAAGTGCTGGGATTACAGGCTTGAGCCACCGCGCCCGGCCCTGGGTAATTTTTTAATTGTTCATGGAGATGGCGTCTTGCTCTGTTGCCCACACTGGTCTCAAACTCCTGGCCCCAAGTGATCCTCCCATCTCAGTCTCTCAAAGCCCTGGAATTGCAGGCATAAGGCATCGTGCCTGGCTCAGAATTTTCTGTTTTGTGAAATCTAATAGAGGACATTTCCCAACTATTTGGACTTTGTATGCAATATAAAACTAGTATGTTTACTGCATTTTATTTTATAGCCAAAAAATAGTCATCTTCAATACCTAATGGAGTTCTAAAGTGTTAGGACAAAAAACTTTTGCTTCCTCAAGAATATCAAACATCAGGCTGGGCACAGTGGTTCATGCCTGTAATTCGAGCACTTTGGAAGCTGAGTCGGGCAAATTATGAAGTCAGGAGATTGAGACCATCCTGGCTAACACTGTGAAACCCCGTCTTTATTAAAAGTGGGTGTGGTGGCACGCCTCTGTAGCCCTAGCTACTCGGGAGGCTGAAACAGGAGACTCCCTTGAACCTGGGAGGCGAAGGTTGCAGTGAGCCAAGATTGCGCCACTGCACTCTAGCCTGAGTGACAGAGCAAGCCTCCATCTCAAAAATAAAAAATAAAAAAAATCTAAACATCAAAAAACTTAAATATTTTAGAAAACAACATTGTAAGATATAAAATAAGCCATAAAAAGAAATTCATCTTTCAATGAAGAAAAATATCTAAACATTGAAAAACTTAAGTATTATGGAAAACATTGCAAAATAAAGCTTGTAGGGACCCAATTCTGTTTTTCATTTTAATACTGATGAGACTTTGGGGAAGGAGGCAACATTGTGTCATGGGAATAAAATGGGTTTGGCAGCCAGAGGAACATAGACCCGGCTTCCCCACTGCTCAGATGTGCTATTTAAAACCAGCACTTACTAAATGTTTTCATCTCAGGACCCTTCACTTTTAAAGGACCCTAAGGAGTGTTTGTTTGTGTAGGTTATAGCTGTTGATATTGACTGTATTCAAAATTAAATAGGAGAAAATGTAAGTAATTATTTACTTTTTTAGAAGTAACAGTAATCAACCCATTATGTGTTATTAAAAATAACACATTGTTATGTAAAAAGCTATTTTCCCAATAAATAAATAAATGTACTGAGAAGAGTAACATTGTTTTCCACTTTTGCAAATCTCTTTATTCCCTGGCTTAATAGAACACAGTTGGATTCTCATGTCAGTTTCTACATCCACTCTGTTGCAATATGTTGTTTTGGTTGATGTATATGAGAAAAACTCAGTCTCACACAGACCTACAGTTGGAATCCAAGGAAGTGTTTTAATAGGTTTTTCAGGGAATTTTGGGATATTTTTTGATTCTACAAAGGCAGATGGCAGTTTCTTAAAAGTTAATTGCAATGTGGAATCTGAAAGCATGTTGGTGAACATTTTTCACCTATTACATTAAAATGCATTGGTTGATTTTGTACTTTGAATGGATACTTTTACTAACGTATGATTTTTGTGGTATCAGGCGTTGTTCATCTTGAAAATATTTATTCACTGAGTTGAGCAGATATTCCAAATGTTGCTGCATTTTATTGTATATTACCATGAAATCATTTTATTAGTGTCTTCACCAATCTCATCAGGAGAGTCTGAAGTATTGAAAAGCTGTCAAGCTCACAGTGAAAAATAGAAGTTTTACAAAATTCCATTCCCCCGCCAAACGCTCATCTTATCATTGACAACAAATATTGTCAGTTGTTTTCTTTGAAGAAATAGATTCATTTTCTTCATTTTTGGGAAAACGTTTGCCATATAACTGCATATGATGAACCGTAGTTTATCAGTAATTATTTCAAATAAAAAGGATGTCCCAAGAAAAAAGTGTCCAGTTCAGCCTGAAACTCAAACACTCAAGGAAATGCTTTTCTTTGAGGCAGCAGAAGTGCTTGAAGTGTATTTCCCATTTTGTCCCACTGAACAATAAAATGACATCTACTTAGGTGTCAATAATTAATACAATTAATAACATACTGTTACATTAAGAACATTTTCAGTCAAGCTGGCTTTTTCAAGCCCCGCAAGTTCACGATGGTGAAAAAGGCAAGAGTTTTGAATGCAGTTTGGTGCCACTGCTTTGGTGCATGCCAAAGTGCAAGTGGTTTTACCCACCTTTGCTTTTATACCTTTAGTACAAGTGTCAACGTGGTAGAAAAGGCAAATAACATCTTAGTATTATTGTAAAAATAGTTTAACCCAGCAGACCCCATAGGAGAGTTTCAGCGACCATACTTTGAGAACAGTTGTCTTAGACAAATCATTCAAACTCTCTGAGATTCAGGTAATTTATCTGTAAAATGGTGACAATGGTAGTGCCTACCCTGATACTCCCAGGGTTGTCAGGAAGTTTAGGGTCATGCCTACAAAACATGGACACGCTGTACTTCATGGTACTTGACAAATGGTCACTATCATTTATGGGCAGAATGGAAATAACATGGTTTAGTGGCTTGTCTGTTGGGGGACTTGGGTTCTGATCCCAGCTCTGACCAATACTAACATGCCAATTCCTTAACACCTCTGAGATTTCATTTCCTCATATACAAAAGGAGAGAGATGGACTGGACGATTAGAACATCTTTTGAAATCGAGGATTTAAAATTCTTCTCTTTTTGTTGTAATATCTTTTGCCTAAGTAGGATAAAAAGAGATTTAGCCATGTAGTGAGGTCTCAGTGGCTCTTTTTTCATATTAAACTTTTTTTCTTCTTTTTTTTTTTTTTTTGCTCTGGAATGGGTACGCTTTTCCTCAGTATCATGTTAAACTTCTAAACACATAGCATTCTGTCGCAGTTCGTATAGTTCCCTTTTCGTATTTCTCAGGAGGGATATAGAGGACCTCCACTCCAGCCACGGTGGAGTAACAGGACCAGATTTACCCTCTGGTTAAACAACAACAAGCAAACAAAAATTACGAAACAACAATTTTTAGATCTGGGGAAATAGTGTACCACAGTCATCCCTGAAAGGAGGGAAGGAGATAAGGTGAGGCCCACAGTGCTCTGTCTTGTGCCTTGGGTGAGTTTCCAGGCCACAGCACAGGGAGGGGAAGTCCCAGAAGAACTGAGTGGTCTCCCTGAGTTGAGGGGACAGAGATCAGAGTTTGAAGAGTCCAAGGTGATTAGAATTCACAGGGAAGATTACCAGGGAGAAGAGAGCTGGACAGAGAGCTCCAGAGATGTGAAGTGGGTCTCCTTTGATTCTTTATTTGAGTACTGATTAGCATATCCTGTGAGGAGACTACTAAAAATGAGGAAAGAACCCCTGGAAAGAAGCAGGCAGAAAAACCCCCAAAACTCAGTTCAAGCTAAATGAGCCATAGTGGAAGACCTTACACATGAGGTGTCAAGTAGGCTGATCAGAAGAGTATCGCCTTAGTAGTGGGGTCAAAATAGTCCTGGACGAAAGGCTGTTATGCATCCACCAATGAAGATTTTTTTAAAACTTTGGAAGAATCATACTGTTTGCAAGTAACTTAACTGCATCCCAGAACAAAACACAAAAACATTTAGGAATAAAAACCCCAGCACTCAATGATGGAAAATTGACAATGTGCGGCATGAAAACAAAAACATCCAGGCATACAAAGAAGCAGGAAAATATGAACAATAATGAAAAATATCAGTAGAAATAGACCCAGAAATAACACAGGGGATAGAATTAGTAGATAAGGTTATTAAAATTGCTACAATAAATGTACTCCAGGTGCTCAAGAAGATAGAATAAAGCATAAACACAATGAGAAGAGAAATGGAAGAAATTTAAGACTCAAATAGAACTTGTAGAGATTTTAAAAGCCTCATTGTCTACATGGGGTTAACAGCAGACTAGATAGGGTAGAAGAAAAGACAAGTGAACTTGACGACAGAGCAATAGAACTTATCTAAAGTGAAACAGAGGAAAAAAATGAACAGTGCATTAGTAAAACATCAAACAGCCTAAAATATTTGTTACTAGAACTACTAGAACCACAATAACAGTAAAGAGGTGGGGATATAGGAAAAAAAATATTTAAGAGAATGATGTTTGAGATTTTTCCAAACTTGATAAAATCTATAAACTCACAGATCCAAAATGCTCATTGAATATGAAACAAAAGAAAATAAGAAAAATCACAGTAAGATGCATCATAATCAAATTACTGAAAATCAGTGATGAAGAGAAAATCTTAAAACCAGCCAGGTGCATGGGGAGTGAGGGGGAGGCTGCAAAGGCAGTGATGGATAATATATACAAAGGAATAAAAAACAA